AGCCCCGCGTGGCTTGCTCCGAGGTGGGGCTGACGCCGCGGGGAGACGGGACGTTGGCTCGCTGACCAGAGCTCCATGGTGGGCCTTAGGGAATTCGCAGGAGCTACCGGTTGACTTGGTGCCCGGACTTCGGTTGCTTGAAGACTGGTGGGCCATTGAGAACCAAGATCTAAGTTCAAGTCTGTGAGTTGGCCTGGATCGACGGTGCAGCGTTAGGGGTACTCGAAACTTCATTTTGACCAAATTTGACGATGTCACTGAGAGCAGTGTGGATGATGTTGAGGGTTTTAGCAGTGAAATGGGCAGAGTGCAGGAGCTCGTTTCAGTTTGTGTCAAATTGTACTAATAGAAAAAAGAAAGAATGGGTGTTACTGCGCTTAGGTGGGTTTGAGGTAGTGAACATTTATACTTCTGGGCCTGTTTGCTAGTGTCTGACACAGTACTTGTAGGATAAACTGTGTTTTAAAAAGTAAAAACAGAGCCGAGTGTGGTGGCGCACTTCTGTAATCCCAGCACTGGGGAGGCTGAGGCAGGAGAATCGTTGCGAGTTCGAGACCAGCCTGGGTTACAAAGTGAGCTCAAGGCTGGCCTGAACTGCATAGCGAGACCCTGTCTCAAAAAGACAGAAAACCCCCCCCAAAAAACAAAAAAAGTAAGAACAGAGGATGCCCTTTGACCATCCCTTCCCATCTGGGCAGCTGTTGCCTCCTCTTTTTGGGGGCGCTGAGTGGGGGGGCGTTCTTGCTGTGTTGCTCAGGCTGGCCTTGAACTCAAATTCTTCTTTCTCAGCTGTACCACTGATCACCACTCCCAGCACGTGTCTCTCTTTATAAAAACGGAATTTTATATTTGCAGTTGAATCGCTCCTGATTTGCTGATACAGAGCTTAGGGGATATATCTGAGTTCTTTGTCTCAAGAAAACGTGGAAATAAAATGGAATTGGAAAAAATGAACGTGCAGGTAAATGCCACCCCTATTACCGGCCTACATGACTTTTAGACTTACAGCCTTGTACTCAGGAGATTACAAGCAAAATCCGACCCCTTTAGGCCCTAGCATTTTCTCAAGTGTTGAACTACACAAGACCCTACATTGAAGAAATGTCTGCATTTGATGGCTACAAAGTACAACAGTGGAGCCGGGCATGGTGGCACACTCCTGTAATCCCAGCACTCGGGAGGCTGAGGCAGGAGGTTCCTTGCGAGTTCGAGAGCAGCCTGGGCTACAAAGTGAGCTCAAGGCCAGCCTGAACTGCACAGCAAGACCCTGTCTCAAAAAGACAAAAAAAAAGTACAACACTGTTTTTAATCTCTGTTAACTTTAAAAAAACAGTGTTTCCAATGTAAATGTGTGAATGAATCACCTGGAGATTTTAAACTATAGATGTTGTTTGAGGTCTGGTGTGAGGCCTCAGAATTTGCATTTCTATGAAGTTTTCACGGTTTGCTGACTACAGGAGCAGTACCTAGGCTGTGCATCTCTGCTGTCCAACAGGTACTGGTGGCAAGTGGATACTTGACATATGGCTGAAACAACTGGGCAAGGAACTGAACTTTGACTTCATTAATTTTAAGTTTAAAAATAGATATTTAAGGCTGGGCTGTAGCTCAGTAATAGAGCAGTTGCCTACCATGTGTGAAGTTGTGGGTTCCATCCCTAGTGTGGCAAAAAAAAAAAAAAAGTTGCACATGTATTTTATGTTTTATGTGGTACTGAGGATTGAACTCACAGCTTCTCCTATGGTAGGCAAGCGCTCTATCAATGGGTAATACGAGCCTTGCTTATATTTTATTTTTACTGGACAGTTACTTTATGTATGAAGTGCCTTTTGGTCTGCTCTTATAACTGGCTGTTAAGAGGAGCAGCCGTTACAGAGTAATCGTCTATTTCCTGCTTTTCTTCTTGGAGTCTCTTAAAGGAGTTGTTTATTCTGACTTTTTTTAGGACTGATGCAGTAAGAGTCCCGACTAGGGGATATAGGCAAGGATTAGGATGGAGGAGTGTTCGATGGGTGGATGGGAAATTGAGACATCAAGAATAGGGTTCTTGCTAAATAGACTTAACAGGATTTCTGCTGAGGGCGGGTGAAAGGCTTACACATCAAGAGCAGGGGATGAAGAATTTGACTAGAACATAAGGGTGATCAGGTAACAAGTGTGAGAGATTCTTTTTCTACCGATTTAGTAGAGTCCTTTTTTATTTTTAATTTTTATTAGTACAAGTTTGCAGTACATGATGAGTACAATCATTGTGGTACATGTACTTAACACATCTTCATGGTTTAGCTGAATTCTTGCGAAAACCGGGCTACGCAGTAAACCTGGGTAAGAAGGTACAGAGAAGCCTGAGTAAAGCTGGTCCAGAAAGTCTTCTGTTACTCAAACATTTTCCAGCTTCCCATCTATCTGGAACACAGGCTTTGGCAGTTCACAGAAGGCCCCCTGTGGTTAGGAGGCTTCTTTTTTTTTTTTTTTTTTTTTTTTTTTTTTGGTTTTTCTCCGGTACCGGGAACCAAACTCACGACCTTGCGCTTGCCAGGCAGGTGCTTTGCCGCTGAGCTAAATCCCCAGCCCCTAGGAGGCTTCTAATTGTTATTGTGACATTCACTGGTAATGTTCCTGGCAGCTGAAACTGAGCCGTAGGAAGCTTAAAGCCCGATTCTCACCTACAGAAAGGAGGTGAACATACTCACAAGTGAAATAAATCAGACCTGCGTGTGTGAGCAACGTATTGTCTCACTAGTGTAAGAACTTAAAAGAGTGCAAAAAAGCTAGGAGATACGATAAACGTTGTGAAACTCTAAAGAGCTCAAAATTAAAGAGCAACTGTGATGAGGGAAAAGAGAAAAGCGAAAAGAAAGAAGGGTAAAATTATGTATATATGTGTATACAGGATAGCTAACAGTTGTACTAGTGACTTCTATCACTTTATTGAAAGGATCAGTTAGTGATTAATTATTTTGATCAATCTTGTGTGTCTATATTTGTTTTCCTGAGTAACCACTTCGAAGTTATCAATATGTAATACAGCAATCATAGTTAATTCCCTGTCACTTGTTTATAATTCAGTATTGCTTGTACTGTTCTTTTGCTACTTTGTAAATGGTTGTCTGTCTCTTAATATGTTTTCATTCTTTTACTTCTAAAATTTAAAAAAAAAAAAAAGAGGTGAATTGAGGAAATGCAGTGCTGTCTAGGACCTCCCAGGAGCGGGGGAGGTGGGGGCGGGCTAATATAGTCTTCAAAGTGATTGGTGGGAAAGAAAGGTTTCCCCTCATTTAATTTCTATTTGTTTAAAAACTTTCAGTGCAATAGTGTGGTTGATGGTAATTGTGAAGAAGTTTGCCCAGAGAAGGTCATTAAGTTTAAACCTCCATTGTACAAACAACGATACCAGTTTGTGAGAGATTTAGTGGACCGACATGAACCCAAGAAGGTAGGTATCTTTTTCCGAACACGTAAAGATTATTCTGTGGCATGGTTTGCCAAATTCATTAGTAAGTGCTCTTCCACTGAGCCGTGTCCCAGCCCCGGCCTTTCTCTGCGTGTAGTTCTTGCAGAGGTTCTCAGTTTTCATATGTTCCACACTCAGACAGTTTTCAACACTATATCATCAGCCATAAGTGGTTTTTCCTATGTACAGTTCAGTCTGTTTTTGTTCAGTTGACTCATGATTTTTGCTTTTGCTTCCTGCCCCAGGTAAAGATTCTTACCTGTTAGCTAATAGTTTGTGCCAGAGGTAGGCAGAATCTATTGAGATCATAATTAGGAATTTAATAGCAGGTTTTGGTTTTTAAGGAACATAAATTCCTTTATAGCCTGCAGGTCTGGTACTTTATTTTGGGTACTTGATTTTTCATGCACGTTGTCATTACGCATTTATGAAAGCTTATTTTTTTTCACATTGTACTCATACCTGGAAGACTTGGTTTCTAGTCCAGGTTACACTTTAGTTTCTTAACTTTAGTAATGATAGGGTTGGCCTCTCTTTCTTTCCTTTTGTTTGTTTGTTTCTTTCTTTCTTTCTTTTCTTTCTCTCTCTCTTTCCTTCCTTCCTTCCTTCCTTCCTTCTGAGACAGGGTCTTGCGTTGTAGTACATCCCAGCCTTGAACTCACTGTGTAGTCCAGGCTTGCCTCAAACTTGTTGTGATCTTCCTGCCTCAGCTTCCTGAGTACTGGGATTATAGGCATGAGCCACCATGCCTGGATTGGGCATTTTCATCAGTTTTTTTTCTCTCCAATTTGAAGTCTCCATAAATCCATCTTTTTAGATCTTTTAAGTGTCACTTTTTTTTGTGGTGCTGGGAGTTGAACTCACCACCTTGTGCTTGCCAGACGGGCACTGTGCCACTGAGCTCTATCCCAGCCTAGATCTTTTACTTGTTACAGTTTCTTTATTTCTTCTTGCATGTTGTCAGTTTTCTGTTGTGCTATAGTTTCCTTTTATGTTTTTTTTTGTTGGGACATAAATATTTACTATTAGGTTTTCTTTGTTTAATGACATTTTACAAATTATTTGTCTCGAGGCTTTTGCCCTGATAATCTGCTTTCTCATCATTATTCCCTGTTCTCTTTTTTTTTCTCCTCTTTATGTTAAGCATGATCTTAGACCATCTTCAAGGAATTAAAAATAAATTCTATACATTAAAGAGTTACAATATAAAAAAGAAAACAATAAAACAGAAAATGTAGGATAATGTGGGTTAGACTTTTTAAGCTGTTAACTGGAAATCTTACAAAGATGCCATAAAAAGGAAAGATTTTATTATATGAAAATTGTAAATTCCTCTATGGTAGAAGACATCATGAACAAAATCAAAAGCTGAACTATAGATGTGGAGGAAATGTTGACCACACAGAAGAAAGAGTTAATGCATGAAGAATGCTTACAAACTGATTAGGAAAAAAAAAGCTCCAGTAGAAAAAATGAGCACAGGAAATAAACACACATTTTGCAGATTAGGTCATGTAGTTAACTGCTTTTCATTTTATTTATTTATTTATTTTTTGTGGTTCTGGGAATTGAACCAGTGTCTTCACACTGAGCTGCGTTCCCAGCGCTTTTTAAATTTTTTATTTTGAGGAGACAGATCTTGTTAAATTGACCAGGCTGGGGTTGAATGTGCAGTTTTCTTGCTTTAGCCTCCCAGAGTTCTGGGATTACAGTGTGTACCACCACATCTGGCTTTAATTTTTTTTCTTTTTATCTTTTTTAAAAAATGGGGATCTTGCTGTATTATCCACTCTGGCCTCTAAGCAATGTAGCAAAACCCCATTCAAAAGGGAAAAAAAAGGGAACAGCCTGGCATGATAGCATTCCCTGTAATCCCAGCTATTTGGAAGGCTGAGGCAGGAAGATTATGCAAGTACTGAGGTCAGCCTGCGCAACTTGGTCAGACTTTGTTTGTCTCCAAAGAAAAAGTAAAAAGGGCTGAGGATGTAGTTTAATGGGAGAGTGCCTCTGGTTTAATCCTCAGTATTGCACCCCCTGCAAAAAATTAAAGATAATGGTCTTCCTTCAGAGGAAGTTATGATTTCATGGAATGCATATACCAAGTCACTATCGTAATAAATTTGATATTGTCTGTAGATTAGATGCTGGTAAGGTGAACATCTAGATGAAAGGTTTCTTTTTCTGCTCCATATTGTCTCAGTGGACATTGTCTTGCATAGAGGTTTCCCCTGCTTTAATTACACTAGGGCTCCCTGACATTCACACAAAGACAGAGGTATCTGTTTGTGTCTTTGTGGCCATTCAGGCACATGTATTCAGTTAAAATGGCCTTTTTGGCAGCACATAGCTCAATAAGGAATTTCATATGGTTCAATGTGATTATTTTATCACATAAGAAATTAAAATTTTCAACATGTGATTATTTTATCACATAAGAAATTAAAATTTTCAACAAGATAAAAACAATGTTTTCGAGAGCTTTGCTGAAACATGAAACTATGAATATTTATGACTCCAACTTCTGATTCTGAGTGGGAAAACTGCATGTGCTTAATCTTTGTCCCTTTAGTCAGATGTAGACAGTGGTAGTAGCTGGAGTAGGAATAGTTATTTGCCCAGAGGCTTATAAAGTCTCAGATTAATTCTATTTCAGGGCACACAATTCAGCTAAAAATCTTTCTGTATAATGGTTTTATTACTGATAGACGGTCCCCCCACACTTCCAGTGTTTTGGTTCATACTTCTGTGCCTACAAATGTCTTTGAAATGTCATTCTGTCTCATCTATAGGTTGCAGATCTGGGATGTGGTGAGACTGAGCTCCTAAGGCTGCTAAAAATCTACCCATGCATTCAACTGCTTGTCGGAGTAGATATTGATGAAGAAAAATTACAATCAAATGGGTAATACTTAGTCCCATTGTTTGTACATGGTTTGTCTCCCAGAGATGTATGTGGCCCTCAGAGTGGGGGTGCTGAAGTGGGAAAGCCGTTGGGAGGTGGTGGCTAATGTAAGGTAATGAGGGTCGGGGGCTCGACTCTGAATGGCTTGATCCTGTCTTGGGGGACTGGGTTGGTTTTGCGATTGGATTAGTTCTGAGGGTGGGTTATAGAGCAGGGCCATCCCATGTACTTGGCCCTTTCAAGCCAACATTTCCTTTTCTGCTGCAGATTGTTTTGAGAACGTTTTTCTTCTAAAGAACAAATAGCTGAAAATCACTGATCCAAAGCAAGTTGGAAGACCAAACGTATTAAACAATGAGAAAAACATCAAATATTCTCGTTGGCTGGTAGCCTCCCGCTGTGAGAGGAAGCTGCCCTGTGACCTAGGCTTAGTATATCAAGATGAGGAAAACAAGCCGAGTCACACAACAGTGTAGGCAGATGATGATTATCAAGGGATATGATACCTGTAGCTTGGGAATTCTTACTTTTTTTTCTTTTTGGTGGTATTGGGGATCAAACATAGGGCTTTCTGCATGCTGGTTACCACTGGTGCCGCTGGTTCTACCACTAAGCACATCCCCAGCCTGACACTTTCTAAACTGATTGTGTGTACAATGTTTCTTACTTATGTAGTAATTCTTTGCAGACATCATTTGTCTCCCTATCTGGGGGAGTTTGTAAAACCCCGGAATCTGGATTTGACTGTTACCTTGTACCACGGCTCTGTTGTGGAGAGAGACTCCCGTTTGCTTGGATTTGACTTGATAACGTGCATTGAGTTGTAAGTTTTCAACTGTATTAAGTGTTCATTCTGGAAAAAAAAAATGAAAAGATTAGATTCAGTAATCTTAGTGTTTTAAATATTTGGGTCTTGATTATTATTTGCAGTGAAAATTGCTTTACAGTTGGGAATGTCTTTTTATTCTCATTTAGTATTTTACTTGGAAATTCCAAATGTACAGCTAAGTTTCAAAAAATAAACAGTACCAAGACCCCCCGTATATCATTTACCCAGCTTTACCTGTCAATGTTTTCCTCCTTGTCTTTATCATCTGTACATGTGCACTCTTCCCCCTCCGTTTTTTTTTTTTTCCTGAACTAATTAAAGGCAGGTTATAGACATCACGGATCTTTGCCCCTCATAAAAAATTCAGTTTATATTTCTAAGACGAAGCCTTATGGAAGTAGTTCTCCATACCTCGTTGTTAATGTTTTTTTACATTGGGGCCCTGCTGATTAAATTCAGGTTACGCATCCTTGGAATACTGCAGAACACTGCAGGGGTGTTTGCGTCCATCTCAGGCCATCCCAGTCAAGGACGTGTCATGTTCACCTGTCCCTTGGCGATGCTGATTTTGATCGTGTCATAGTGTTTGCTCCATTGTGTAGTTACTGTTTGGTTTTTGCCTTTTTCTGTCACAACTGTGGGGCAGTCCGGGGGGACACAGTGAGAGTATGCAGGTATCTTGCCGCTCATCCATGTTTACCTAGATTTAGCATCATGAGTGCTCAGTCCTCATTAAAATAGTGGGAAATGATGTTTCCTGTGATTCTAGTTCTCCTTCTGCATGTACTAGAGAGCTCTTGGCATTTTACCATTGAGCAAGATCCTTCCCATACTCTCTAGTTATCAATATATAATTCCTATTTTTTTTAGTGATTTATGATTTATTCACTTACTTTTTTGCTTGTTTGTCCCAGATTTTGCCAGTGGCGTCTCCACCTTACTTGATTCCTATGTCCTTGTAATATGTCTTATTTGCAAGCACTTATTTTTTGAAATGATAAGCCGTTTAAGATTTTTGTATAGTTCTCTCCCTGGTCCCGGGACTATAGGCATGTGCTATAGGACTTGACTCTATTCTTTTTATTACTGCATATTTTCCCACTGTATGAATGTGATATAATCTGTCTTCATCACTTTCCCCTTGCTGGACATCATACCTGACACCCACAACTTAAAGGAAGAGCGGTTTAGTTCATAGTTTCAGTCCATGGTTGGCAGACACAATGGCAGAAGGGTATGGTGGAGGAAAACGTGTTCAACCCATGGCACAGGAAGCAGAGATAGAAGAGGAGCTGGGTGTGAGAATACGTCATTCCAGCTCACGCCCTGCTATAGTCTGGATCTGAAATGTTCCATCAAGGTCTCATGTTTGGAAGGTGATTGGATCATGGAGGCACTGTTATGGTTTGTGTCTAGGTGTCCCCCCCAAAGCCTCATGCATCGTGGGGCGGGCTTTTAGATATTATGATTGATCCATGATCCAGTGCTGGGATTTTGGGTGTGAGTGCTACACCCAGCCTGGGGCGGATAGTTTGCATATGTAAGGGAGGGAAAGAGGCCGCCTGCCTGCTCTCTTCCATTTTGCTCTTGTTACTTTTGCTGTTTTTCCCTTGCCATGAACTGTTGCCCTCTGCCCTGTGCCACTCTGCCTTGGAGCCAGCTGAGCATGGACTGAAACCACTAACTGAGCTAAATAAACCTTTCCTTCCTTAATTCTGGGTGCCAGGTATTTTGTCTCAGCAACGAGAGAGAAATAATTGAGATAGGCACTGTACTCACCAGTAGATCCATCCACTGGTGAGTTTAGCAGCTGAATGTGCTGTTGGCGAGTAGGGCCGGTCACTTAGGGTGTCCGAAGTAGGTCACTTAGGGGTGTGAGCTACAAAGGCATATCTCTCTCCCCTGCTCCTGCCTTTCTCTCTACATCCTAGCTGCCATGACATAAGCCTTTCCTCTGCTGTGCCCCTGTACCATGCTGTGTCTGCCTTGGAGCCGTCAGACCATGGATTGTAACTTTCTTGTAAGTTGTGGTTGTGTGATACTGTGTCTCAGCAACGAGGAAAATGAGAAAAATGAGGAAAATGACTCAGCAATGAGGAAAATGAGGAAAATGACTAAGACGTGTCCCCACCTCCACCCAGGGCCTACCTCCTAACAGCACATTCACCCACTGAGCTTAGCAGTGGATGGATCTACTGATGACTGTAGCACCCCATGATTAAATCACCTTCCCTACACATGAGAATTTTGGAGGATATTTTATTTTATTTTATTTTTGTCTTTTTGAGACAGGGTCTTGCTATGCAGTTCAGGCTGGCCTTGAGCTCACTTTGTAACCCAGGCTGTTCTTGAACTCACAATGACCCTCCTGCCTCAGCCTCCCAAGTGCTAGGATTGCAGGCATGCGCCACCACGCCCGGCTTTGGAGGACATTTTAAATCTAAGCCAAAACGTTCTACCCCTGACCCCCAAAAGAGTCACGTCTATCTCATTATGCAGAACACATTTAGTCGGTCTGTCGAGAGTCACCAGAATTTAACAGTTCCAACATTGCTGAAAAGTCCAAGTCCAAAATCTTCTCTGAGGCTGTGAGCCCCTGTAAAAAACAAGAAGAAAGTTGAACACTTCCAACGTACAGTGGCACAGGGCGAACATACCTAGTCCAGAAGTGAGGAATAGGGGGCTAGAAAGGAATCAAACTGAAACAGGACTGAAGCCCAGCACAGCAAATGTTAAATACTGTAGCTCCGTGTCCAGCACCCAGGGCGTGGTGTGGTGAGACGCGATCTCCAAATGGCCTGGGTAGCCCCACTCCTATGCGTTGCCAGTTGCAACCCTCGTGGCCTTTCCCTTGGGGTGGCTCTGCTTAGTGCCTGCAGGTGCGTGGTGGAGGAGAAGCTGCTCGTAGCACAGCAGTGGGAAAGCAGAGAGTGAGTCAAGGGAGGCGCTGGGTAGGGAGATAAGCCCTGCAAAGCCACACCCGCAGTGATCACCTCTTCCAACCCGGCCCTGCCTCCTAGCAAGTCAGCTTTAAGTGGCAAAGTCCAATCACCTTCCAAAAACCCCTGCCTCTGAGTGCACAAGACTCCTGGGGGTATTTGCATATAAACCATAGCAGAGTCCTGTTTCCAACTGAACCCTCCTGAGTCCAGATTTTACTCTCTGCTTTTCTGTCAGCATTTTGGTCTTCTGAGCTTTTACCAGAATCTCCCATAAAGCTCTTCTTGTAGCATTCCCTTGCTGGCATCTCCAAACCTTTCTAAACTCCTACTGCAAACTAGTTGCAAAGGCTTCAGACCAAATGGTATGATCACAGCAGCAGCTCCTACCAGTATCTCTCTTAGTCATGTCCCTCTGACGGACATAATACCTGACATTTGCAATTTAAAGGAGGAGAGGTTTGTTGTAGGCTCTAAGGCAGAAACAGGATTGCAGAGGGGCATGGCAGAAGGAAAGGTGTTCAGCCCAAGGCAGGCAGGAAGCAGAGACAGAGGGGAAGAGCTGGCGCAAGCGTGTACCCTTCCAGGTCTTGCCTGGTTGCAGTGACCCACCCCCAGTCAGGCCCTACCTCCTAACAGCGCATTCAGCTACTGAACTTATTAATGGACGAATCAACTGATGGATATCATATCCCCGTAGTCCAGTTACCTTCCACACACAGGAGAGTTTTGGGGGGACATTTTAGATCTAATCCAGAACAATGTGTTTAACCAGTGTCATATTATGGAGCATTTAGAATGACCTGATTGCATGGCTTCGTTTATATGTTGTTTTTGCATACACATCTGCGGTGTAAACTAGATGTAAAACTGCTAGGTCAAAGGACGTGTGTGTTTTTCATTTCGATAGCCCTTTTGGTTGTGGGGCAGGTTTGACTTGGTAGAAGAGAGCCCCAGGTAGTGGATGAAAGAAAGTGGAACCTTGTTTCTCTGAACAGCGCTGAGCTGAATGGGCCATGACTTGCATGGCTCCTTGAAGTCACTCAGAAACCAAATTCTGTTGTTCTGCCCTTGCAGTGTTACGTCCATCTGTACAGTCGTAGCTGCTCTTGAACGTTCTTTTTAAAAGAAAAATATTTATTTATAAATTGATCTATTTTATAAAGCATGTATATTCATTTATTAGAAGTACATATTTGCATTTGTCTATTTAGGCATTTGTATTATACAATATATATGTGCTTTTTATTTTACTAAGTATAGTGAGACACCCCAAGCAGGCAGAAAGGTCATATACACACATGTATATGAACAAATTTCTGGTTTTTTTTGGTACTGGGAATTGAACTCAGGACCTTGCGCTTGCTAGGCAGGCGCTTGTGCCACTGAGCTACATCCCCAGCCTGCGAATTTCTGTTTTATATACATACTTTTTTTTTCAATGCTAGAGATTAAACCCAGGGCCTGACCCATGGCTGAGTAGGCACACTATCAGTGAACTAAACCCACAGTCCTGTCTTTCTTGCTAGTGTACGATAAAGCAGTCACTTTCCCTTTGATCGTGTTATGCTGGAAGTGCAGTTTTAGATATATGTAGTATTTACCCCAGTGGTGCAAAGAAGCCAGATGGGATGAAGATTTGAGGGATTGCTGGATTTGACAGCTTGGAGACTGTTTGACTGACTCCTGTAGCAAATTATCAGTTTACTTTCAGCGTTTCTTTGTATAAGTGGTTGAAAGGTCAGGGTACTTCTGCCCATTAGTGTTGGGAGAAATAGAGGCGCTGAAGTATGGTGAGGAGATTATCTTCCCGCATCTTATTCAACACAGCTCCTGGTTTGCTTGCAAGTTTGTTTGAAGCTCAAGCCCGTGTGAAGCAGTTGTGTCAAAGTCCGGAGTTTTCAGGGCATACTGACATAGGAGGTCAGCAGTATTTTGTCAGACTCATTTTCGCTGATACTCAGAGTTGCAGGTTTACCAGAGTTGCAGGAATGGTACGGGGAACTCCCTAGGTTCACCAATTGTTAGTCTTTCACCTCATTTAAAAGGCATTTTTTCTAAATTTAATTTTCTATATGTGTTTTCATCTGAATCATTTGAGAGCAAGTTGAAGACCCTGTCTCTCTTTACCTTCTAAATACTTCAATGCATTTCTAAGAACAAATACTTCTCTTCCATAAGCACTGTATACTGAATTAGGAAATACAGCCGTGATACAGTACTGTTATGTAATGTACAATCCATACTCAAAATCCATCAGTTCCAGTCAAGTCTTTGTAGCTATTTTGAAACTTCACTAGAGTTTAAAACAGTCCAAGATCACACAGACGTTTTCAGTTGTCATGTCTGTTGTATACCCTTTAATCTGCAACAAGTCTGCTGAGTTTTTCTGTGTTATTTTCCCTTTAATCCACTTTTTTTCTTTTTGTGGTGCTAGAGATTGCCAGGCACTCATGTGTGCTGGGCAGAGGCTCTGCTATGGAGCTACAGCGCCAGCCCTGCCCTTTATTTTTGAAGAATACAAGATAAATACTTTGTAGAATGTCACAGCCCTCAGTCTGGGTTTGCCTATTACCTCATTATTAGATCCACAGTATGCTTTTTATTTATTTGCAGGGTTTTTTTTTTTTTTGAGTGTTGATAATGTGTCCCAGGGAGCTCAGCAAAAGAACCTCGCTGGCTAAGAGAGTGCCATGGGCAGGGCTGGGGGATGGGGAAAGATTAGAATATGTGAATAGCTGTGCATAGGTCATAGCATTATGGGGTATTCAAAGAAAAGCTAAATCAGTATAGAGATGGAAAGTGCTTGTCAGTTAGGAAAGTGCTTCCAAGTTAAGGTGCGTTAGTAATGTCTTTCCATTAACCATTGCAGAATAGAACATTTGGATTCAGACCATCTGGCCAGATTTCCTGAAGTGGTGTTTGGGTACCTGTCTCCAGCCATGATCGTCATCAGCACACCAAATTCTGAATTCAACCCCCTATTTCCCATAGTGACCCTAAGAGATGCAGACCATAAATTTGAGTGGAACAGAACGGAATTTCAGACCTGGTAAGTTCAGAAGATTTTTTTGTGTTTGGTTCTTAGAAATCCTACTGGAGTGTAAAGTCCTAGGAAGTAACCCTTTATATGTATATCTTACCTGAATTCTTTCTTTATTCTAACAAAATCCCAGTGTGTAATGTACTGTGTAATACGATCATAAGGGAAATACTCCCTCGGGCAGCTGTGGAAAGGGCGAGCGGGCACCAGGTGCTGTACAGGTGACGGCGGTCTGTAGTGTTGGCGTGAGAGTAGACGGGGCCGGGCCGTGAGGTGAGCCACATGCCCGTGTCCAGGGCTCGCTCCTTGGGCTTGCTCACGTTTGGTGTAATTGTAGCCCCAGACGGGTAGTCGGGGCTGTGGCTTTTGGGGTTTCCGTGTGCAGCCCTGACTTTGTGTGCCCCATATCTTTTTCTCTTCCCTGTTCTTGTGGTAACTTGCAAACTGATGTTATGTCCCCGCCTCTGTTCCTCATTAGAAACTAAGCGAACCCTGTGGTGCAGCGTTATGTGATGATACAAGGATGTGCAACGTGGATGTTTTTACTTCATATTTTTCATTTTCTACCACTGACGAGTTTATTTAATTATATCCATTCTGATTTATTTCTGGGTCTTTAATGTACATGCAAATGTCAGGGTCATTCTCTTTACAGTGGCAACATAAAGCATGTGTTCTGTACAAAGGTCAGTAGACAGCTCTTCTAGCCGGGCGTGGTGGCACATATCTGTGATGCCAGCACTACGGAGGCTGAAACAGGAAGATTGCAAGTTTGAGCCCAGCTTAGTGACTTAGTGAGACCCTGTCTCAAAAATGGGTTGGGAGAGGCCCTGGGTTCAGTCCATACTACCACAGAAGCAAAGAACACAGCTTTTCTAACTAGAATGTCTGCAAATTGACTTTTCATTTTCCCATTCTCTTTCAAATAAAACCCAACTTTATCCTACATAAAACATGGGAGGTTGTTGGGAAGATCCAGGAGTGTGACAAGGACCCCAGGGACAGGGTGCGTCCTGGCCTGGGGGATGAGCTGGAAGCCGAAATGCAAGTGGCTGGAATGTACTTAACAGTAATGACTTACTTAGCAAAGTATTTCAAAGTAGCAGTAAGTTTAGAAGAACAATCTCATTTTTACTCCAGGGCTTTAGAAGTGGCGAATCGCTACAACTACTCGGTGGAGTTTACAGGGGTCGGCACTCCGCCAGCTGGTGCTGAGCACGTTGGATTCTGCACCCAGATAGGCGTCTTCCGGAAGAACAGCGCAGCGGCGCCCGGGCCCTGTGTTCCCGAGCAGCACCATCGGCACGTTTACAAAGCTGTGGGTATTGTTGGTGAGGCAGCGCTCAGGGCGCGGAGTGCGTTGCTCAGGATGGTGAACTTTTTTGTTTGTTTGTTTTTCTTAAGAGCACCCAAAGTAGAGATGAGTGTGGATTTCCTTATTTTGCGTCTCAGCTTGACAGATCCTTTGGGCCCCATGAGTCCTGGTAGAGTCGGCCTCCTACATCCTTTGAGGCTGCTTGGCCCCTTGGCATTTCTCAAGGCACATTAATGAGAGCAGTTTGTGCTGGAGTTTTAGAGTACTTCCAAGCAATACTTCAGCAACAGCATCTGTCATCTCTTCAGATTATTGGTTTTTGTAGTTTTTTTTTCCCGGTACCAGGAATTGAACTCATGACCTTGCCCTTGCCAGGCAGGCACTTTGCCGCTGAGCTAAATCCCCAGCCCCCAGATTATTGGTATTAAAGAGAAAGTGAGCGGAGCTGGACACAGGGGTGCAGACCTGTAATTTCAGCTACTCAGGATGCTGAGGCAGGAGGATCACAAGTTCAAGGCCACCCTGGGCCACTTAGTGAGACTCTGTCTCAAAATAAAAAGGGTTGAGCTTGTGGTTCATTGGTACAGCACTTGCTTAGTGTGCCTAATTCTCTGGGTGTGCCCGTGCATATGTGCACAAACACGCAAAACTAATTGTCCAGAAGAAACACATTTTACCTTTCAACTGAACCATTTTCTATCTGTTCCTCCTTGTCCTTCCCTTTTCTTCAAAGTCTCACTTTGTTACCCAGAGTGGACTAAACTCTTGGGTCGAGATCCTCTTGCCTCAGCCTTCCAGGCAGCTTGGGACCACAGGCACATGCCAACACACCCAGATTGAACTATTTTTCTTTTCTCACCCTTTTCCCTGTACCGTAAGCTCCCAACTTATTAACGAGTTCTGTTCTGGGAGAATGTTCATAAGTCAGATTCATTCTTAGGTCCAACAAAGTGAGTCTTTTTTTTTTTTTTTTTTTGGTACCAGGATTCAAACTCACAACCTTGCGCTTGCCAGGCAGGCGCTTGTGCCGCTGACCTATATCCCCAGCTCAAAGTGAGTCTTAAACACCTTTGACCTAAATATGTGAGGTAAAGCATAAAAAAATGAAACATACTTATGAAAATACTGTAAAGAAATTACTTTTACCTTTATAGTTACCTTAAAATGGTAAGATATACATGGGACCTACTTCTGTGAATTGTTCACATATAGGAATGTTTCTAGTTTGAGGTTTGTTCATATCTGTGAAAGTTGACACATCGAATGTTCTAAGTAGGGGACTTAATGTAGTAAGAAGTAGAGGGATTGGATTAGTGTGCACTGGCTGGGAGACTTTGGCCATTAGAATTGGAAAGCAAATCAGATAACTGATGTCAGTGTGTGGGTAGTTTGAGTCCCATTATAATGGGGACATTTACAGTGAGGCTCCGACCCTATCCAATATGTAACTGGACATAATCCAGTTAGAGTTATAGTTAATTCTTACGTGGCAGAGTACCGATGGCTCTGAAATTTTTCCTGTTCTCTTGTTTTGCATCCTTCCCTTCAGGTTTATACAACCACCTACCCGAGTTTACAGCAGGAAAGGGTGCTCAGATTTGAACTGGTCGGGGAAGTGTTGTTACAAGTGGAGCGCTTGAGACTGGGGCATCTGCGAATGCTGCGAGAACAGAAGAGGGAATCGGGCACGCTGCCGAGGGACCCGTCTGCAGCCCGCAGCCTGATGTTGGGGGCCGTCTTCACAGAGGCTGAGAAAGCCAGGATAGAGAATTCTCCCCAACCCTTCTGCGAAGGGGATCGGTTTTGCATACCCCTGCAGAGACTCCTGGCTTACCCCAGACTGCACCGCTTGCCTGTGGATGAAGAGCGCGTGCGGTCCCTTCTGGCCGACTCGGTGTGTTTCAGCAGCGATGGCTCTGCAGTCATGGTTGACCTGCATAACTCTTGGGATTATGAACCTGAAGATAACTGAGCCGTCCACGTTTCCTGAAGTTCAAAGTCTCAGCGATAGTTGAACTCACTTAGATTTAAACTTTTTTTGGGGGGGGGGGTAATCTTACTTAAGTGACATTTAAAAAGTTTTAACATAAGCCATTCCTGAACCGGTGGAGATACGGCTGCCACACAGCCAGGTTGCTCTTTACCTGAGAAAGAGTGGGGTTTAACTAAAAGCAGTGCGCTTTTCAATTGGAAATTTTCTTTGATGTTTTCTCAAGAATGAAAGTGGGTTTGATAATGTGTTAATTTTGAGTGTACCCACATTTTGATGTTAGAGCTATGTGTTGAATGAGATTAAAAATTTCAGAAGTGCAGACTAATCTCAGCTACTCAGGAACCTGAGGCAGAAGGATTGCAAATTTGAAGCCTCAGGGTCAGTTTACCAAGACCTTTCTTAAAATAAAAATGGCTGGGGATATAGATCAAGGACCACTTGCCTACTTTGCCTGAAGCCCTGTGTTCAATCCCCGCTACTGGGGAAGAAAAGTGGTCAGATATACTGTGGCAACTTTTTCTCAAGCGTTCTGAATTGCTTTAAAATATTGCTGTGACTTTCCTTTGGGCCAAATTGTTACCTATTATTCAGCCTAAAATCATTAAAAAGAATTCAGGTATTTGTTTGTTTTTTGAGACAGGGTCTTGCTATGTAGTTCAAATGCAGGTATTTGAAGAGCATGGAGGATAGAGGTCTCTCTCTTTATGATGTAACCACTGTCTTTTTTTTTTTTTTCTTTTTTGCAGCGCTCGGTATTGAACCAAGGGCCTTGTACATGCTAAGCAAGCACTGTACCACTGAGCTACATCCCCAGCCATGTCTCTTTTTTGAGCACCCGCCTCTCTCGGGTGGTATTAACAATGGGAGGTGAAAAATACAGCTTCGCCCACTGGGCGAGAGTAGTTGAAATGAGACTTTCCTGCTTACGGCGCAGGGCACAGGAGTCTGGGTAAGCCAACAGCAGGGACTGGCACAGCAGGGACCTGCCTGTCAGTTCTGGTCACTGTGGTATTCTTAGCATGCCACCTTAGGGAGCGGGAGGGAGGTACGTCTCCAGCTACCAGGTTCATGTTCCGTACCAGCAGAAGGGTAAGGAGAAGGAGGAGTGGCTGCCAGCTGCCTGGTGCAGTTGCTGCAGATTGATTCTAAGACCTTAAAATGAGGTCTTCTGGCCACACATAGCAGCGGCAGAAGCTGGGAAGCATAGTTGGTATTCTGGGAGGTCACTTGCACTTGGTGGCTTCCGAGCAACAAGAGGAAAAAGGACACTGGCAAATTGTGCCACACCTGGAGTGTCCTGAGTGGCCCGAGATGGGCCCTGGTCAGGGGTGCAGTGTCGCCCCCTGGGCGAGGCCTCCATGGGCAGTCAGGCTGAAGCTGAACTTTGAAGAGCTAATAATTGGGAAGTAGATTTGGTGAGGATGGGAGACAGAGGGTTCTAAAGAAAAGCCTTTTAACCACATAACCTCCGCTAACCCCGTGCTTTCTCCTTAAGTCTCACAGCTGCTCCGCCAGGGCTCCATGTGTCCTCCTCTCTACCTGTGCTCAGAAGTACACATGACCTAGAGATCTGTGTCCCTCCCAATCCATCCCAAAGGCGCTCTGTCCTCGCCTTCCTAGGCCTCCATACAACTTCCACCCTAAGGCTCCTTCCTAATGAGTGCTCTTTTCTAGTGCTGCATTTTCTAGCCAGAGTCAGCCTTTCATTTTTCTGCAAAGCTAACAGAGTAACTTTGCTGAAGCTTGGCCCCTCAATCCCTCATCCTTTAAGAAACCTTTAAGTGCTCATGACTGCCATGGGGCTGAAGCCCCTTGGGTTTCAGAGGCAAGGAAGGTGTTCCACCACGGAGCCACGCGCCCAGCCTCTGTACCTACATTCTTAAGGTTTGTGTTTACTTTTTACCTTGATAGATTCTTTCTCTGCATGTTGAAAGGTTTGTTAGCATTCTAAGCCAGAGATCAGCAAATATTCCTGTAGGGCTAGATAGTAAATCTTTGGAGGTTGTGGGGCTTGTATCACAGCAGTTCACCTCAACCTGAGTGGACACAGAGAAGCAACCCTATTTAATATAAACCTATTTTATGCCTATGTTTATTAAAACACCTGAAGGAAAGTTTGGTCAATAGTCTGAAGACTTGTTTTTTCTTTACTGCTGGGGATCAAACCCAGAGCCTGTGTATGTTAGGCAAGTGCTCTACCACTGAGCCACACCCTCAGCCAGGTCCTTGTTCCAAGCAGGGATACACTCTTACCCTTCAGCAGCACAGAAGTGGTGGAGAATTTTGTAAAGGGAAAAGGCAATTAGAGATTAAAATCCCTACTGCTGTAAGTGCAGAAAGCAGCCAGTCGGGCTTGCTAAGGGAATTTTACTTCAATTATGGGTAGTGTGAGGCAGTAACCACATCACAAAGTTCTTACAGAAGCTAAGCGGGCAGGGCCTGGCACAGGGAGAGTGTTCATCGGAGGTAGCTGTGTTGCTCTCCAGGCTGTTAATTTCATATCCATTTAGGACAGTAAGGCCCATTCTGGGGCCCAGGCAACTATTGCTCCCAGCAGTGAATACTGCAGACCTAGAGCGAGCATTATTCAGGATTGTTTCTAAGAATGAATTGTCAGGTACCCACAGTTTAAGGAGCAAGCAGAGCAGTGGCAGCCCGCATTGTGTATGTGTAGAGTCCCCTCTGTTCTCTGCAGAACGAGTTGTCTCAGACACTGCAGAGGGGGACCTGCCGGAAGGAGGTGTCCAAAGTCATTGCCACTGTCACATCTGTTGTCTGCTGTCCCTTCACTCCTCCTATAGAGCATCTCAACTCACTGGAACCGTATCTCCCAAAGTGACATGGTGAATGGCCACCCTTCCTACCCGACTCAGCTTTGAGAATTTTTTAGGAGTATCCTGAGAAGTTGGACAGTGGAAGAGAACGCTTTGAACTCCTAATATTTTATGCTGTCTTCACATCTGAAAGTTCAGTTTCATAATCACGCCTTGGAATGAGTGGCTTCTTAAGGTCCACCTGAGCCGGAGGACTTTTTTGGTGCCGGTATTTGAATCCAGGGCCTTGTTTGCACCAAGCACACGCTCTGTCACTGAGCTATATGCCCAGCCAGTTTTTCACTTACTTTTTTTCCTTTTGCTTTTTTTTGGGAGGGGGGAGGATTCCTACAGGTACAATATGTTGTGCCTTCTATGTTGGGTAAAGCATATTTGCTGTTACGAATTCCCAGGGCTAAGCACTGGTTTTAGATCATGTAGTTTGAGGAGCTTCTGGTTACAGGAGCTGTTGGAGGGAAAATACATTTTCTCTTAAACTTACATTTTCGCTGAACTTAACAATGTTTAGTATCTTGATGGGGACGACTGCAGCTACCTTTAAATCCAGTCCTCTGAGGAACAAGGAAGCAAAAATAACCAAACCCTAAGTGATTCTCTGTCTCTGTCTCTCCCTCCCTCTCCTTTCTTTTCCTTTCCTTTTCTGTCTTCCCTTCTCTTTCCCCTTGCTCGGGAGCCAACACATGCACACTAGGCAAATGCCATGCCACAGTCCTAAAAATTCCACCAATTAAAAAATTATAAATTTTTTCCTGTAATTTTAAAATTTGAGTTAAGACAGTTGAGATTGACAGTTATTAAGGCTGACAGTTTAGAATTGTATGGAATTTAAGATTTCATAATACCATAGCTAAAACTTTCATCCTTAAAATCTACTCTCCCATAGCCTCTTGGGAACTCCCAGCCTCTGTAGTTGATTACGCCTCTAGAAGAGCAGTCCCAGCCACCACCAAGCTTAGATTTGCAGTTGACAAAGTATCCATTTTTATACTATTGACTTCACATTAATGGCCTTTACTATATATTTTGATGCAACTTTATCATTAGCAATACATTTTGTAAATGCAACTAGATGTAGTCCATTTTTTATTATTACGTGTGCTTTTAGAACACATTCGTAGAATGCATACAATTCATGATAAAAACCCCAAGCTGCTCATCAGGATGCAAAGAAACGTCCCTCCCCAGCTTGCCCCTTCTTCCATTTCATCCCCAAGAAATCAGTATCACGTATTTCTTATGATTCCAATTCACTACAAGCAAATTTTAATTTTGTGAGAAGTAGTGGACTTTTGGGGGTGTTAGGTTATCCCACCCCACACGCCTCCTGGAAAATCACTCTAGGACCACATAATTTAGAAGGCAGAGGCCCCAAGCACAGCAACTGAGGTTTTTGTCCCAAGAAACTGCACTGTATGACAATGAAGAACATGGTGCTGTGGGAGGAAGTTTTATTTGCAGATTTTTCTTTGAAAGGTTTCATTGCCACCTACTGCTGTCTGCATCTCCAGGCTGGATGTGAAATACGTGTTACCAGATATTACCTGCACCTCCTATCCCCACGGCTGAGAGCTGCAAAAGCTTTCTGCTGCTATCACAAAATGAGAAAGAGAAAATTATAGAGAGAAAAGGTTAGTTTTTGGCTTACAATCTGGAGGGGCTAGTCCACGTTGCTTTGGGCCTTTGGTGAGGCAGCACAACATGGTAGGAGCACAAGGGAGAACAAAGGTGTTCGCCTCATGGCTGGAGAGCAAAGGAGACAGAGGAAGAAGCCACGGCCCCACAGTCCCCTTCAAGGGTGACCCCCAGTGGCCTACAGACCACCCACTAGGCCCCAGCTCTTAAAAGTCCACCACCTCCCAGTAGCCCCTGCTGGAGGACATGTGGGCAGTTGGGGGACCCTCAAGATGGAAACTGTTGCAGAAACCTAAAGATCTGTGATTTCCGAGAAGCCTGTCTTCACAGCACTCCTTGCATTCAGTTCAGTGTCATACTATTGAAGGATGAACTTGGTCCTCTCACATTTTCACAAGTCTCCGAACACACCTCCCGCATGTCCGCATACAGTGGCCAGCTTGCATCTTTCCCTACCTTGTCTCCCCGATCCCTGCCCTTCCACTCTTGTCCACTGTGATTTCCAGCCTTCCCGTCTACAGCACACTCAGCAAGCCGTCCGCTTGTCAGTGGCTGTCAAGGAATGCTTCCAAATCAAGGCAGTTCCCTTTGTTGGAGTTTGGGTGAAACCGAACGGAACCCAGCCATCTCCTCACACCTGGCCCTGTGGAGATCGCGCTGAGCGGTTGACTGGAAGCCAGGGACTGAGCCGTATCAGCAACGGCAATGCGGAATCTTTTGAAGACTAAGAACAGCAGATTTCTGTCTTGTGGAGGGCGCTGGGTATTCACTACAGCGGACACATATGCAGCACATCTTCGGGGATAGTCAGAAAAGGGCACACTTGGGAATATTGTTGAGGTCTAGCAAACAAGCTGGTAGGAGCTGGAAGGTCTATGCATTTTTACAGTGAATGTTAAACACTAGTTTTCGAAGCCCCACATGCCTATTATAAACCTCTTCCCTCCTTGAAAATTAACATTCCATGCTGTCCACCTATTTAGCGGTTTGGTTCCTAAAGATCGGCCAAATTGCACGTACACTTTGCCTGAACCCTTTTGCCTCCAGCTGTAATTATCTCCTGTTTCTACCTATTTCATTTCGTCCTATATGCTGTGACTCAGCTAGAAAGAGTCCGGTTTAGCTGCGATCATTTGTTTTCCCCAGAAACACT